TCTAGCCATGTGCTTAATTCCCTAATTATATGAAGCAGGTTTCATATTTTAATATAACTCAAGTTCTCATTTTTAATAGCAGTGTCTGTTGCGAAAAAGCACGTATGCAAAAAATCTTAATTCCTTTTCCCTGTGATGTAAGCTAGTAAGTCACTGAGAACAACAAAGATGCATCGACTTAGAAACAGCATTATTGTTGTAAATGCATTATAAAGAAAAATAGAAAACAGGGAAACTGCTGTTTTTGAAATTACGTTTAATGCGTTAGATGAACTACTTGGAATCTGATTGTTGCATTGTTTCTATCTCTTCATAAAAAATGATTTATTAAATTGATCTGTATTATATATTTTTATAATTCCCAGATTTTATCATTACGAATAGAGTGGTTAATTGTATCAAGGAAAAATCTGAAGACAGAGCTAATGCATGTTCGCTCAGTAATTGAAACATTAAACATTCTATTATTTAATTATCCGGTTATCATATTACCTGAAAAAATGTTTGGAGGAAACTCTTTTCCCATAGCGAAGAATAAGGGAAAATCGCATGTAACATTCTCTCTCTCTAATTATGTTTTCACGACGTCAAGGCCAACAGTGAAAATAAATCTTCTTTTAACCACAGTTTCTCAACGTGGGCGTCGAAGATAACTATAGAGGCACTACTAAACCGAGGGGAAGTTATGGGGTTGTCACGTAGCACTACAAGAAATTTTTCCGAGAAACTGCTTCTTCCAGCACTATTTTGAACGGGAGGTTTCCAGTTGGAAGTTTTGCGCTCGACAAAGTGTGCGGGTACGTACGTACACGAGACATTTTATCATGCCGGAGAAAATGTTTCACCTGGAGATGTGTCTCGCATTTGTCTTCCCTTATGTCAACCAATCAGATATTCTGGAAGGGAAGAGTGTTGGTATTGCTCGCTTTTAAATCGCTGAGTTTGTTACTCAAAAATTCGTTAACGTATTACAAAATATGAAACCGATAATAAAACAAATTCTAAATTTCAAATTTGGTCTTCCACATGCCCATATTCGTAGAAGGATTACGTCATTCAAACTTCGATGGCTCTATATATCGTTGTTTTATCACAATGCGAGAAATATACATACATTTATGCAGATATTTCATTATTTAATTTCTTCAAATATAATGCAGGACTCTAACATTTGGTGGCAACAGTTTGAAAAGTGAAACGGATATATATAGTGATTCAACGCAAAATCGCAAAACGGAAACAATAGTCCTTCAGGGACAAAGCGCCTTTGGACTAAAAATTTCAATTTTAAAAGCTCGCGTTTCAGCATTTTTATTTTAGAAAGTAAAATAGTATAAACGTAAAAATATTTAAAAAAAAATTATGTCACCTCTTTTTGAATAAAACTTAAAAAGAAAAATATGTAGAGCTATAAAATACATAAATATCTAATCCACGAGTTGCTAAATAATTTCATCTTAACCATTAGATGTTTTTGTGCATACAAACGTCATGTATATAAGAAACAGAGTTAGATATTCTGGAATCAATCTAGTATCTAGTATAAGGTGTAGGAAATCTGCTTTATTTATGACAATTATGAAATGAAATTAATACTTGTTGCAAAATACTGTTAGTCCAAATAAAATGACCTTCGATTAAGAGTTTTGCCCTACTGATGAGCAACGTACTTTGATATTACAAAAGACAAAAGAAAGAATTTATACATCACCGATTGGCAATAAAGAGGTGTAGTGTTTCTGATCTTTATTTTTGACTGATAGGATTTTGTATGAAAGTGAAATCTGTAATACCATTTTCAGATGTTAGTAATTATTAAAGCAGAATTTCAAGAATTGCTAATAATAATGGGTCTCTGATTGTTTTTCTCCCTTAAATAGGCGAATGCAAAGTAATAATACCAGAATACTGCAGATTCACAAAGGCTAATATCGCAGCATAAGCTTCATGTTATTCAGATTTTTGGTAAGTAACTCATATATGAAATGAAACTACGTTATTAATGTCTACTACTTGAAAGTATATTTATGATTGGAATGCGTTTTGAGTGCAGAGAGGAAAGTGCTGATCAATCTACTTTAACAGGGGGAAAAAATCTACTCTTGCTTCAAATATGTATATATCAAATCAATGATATCTTTACTGGTTCATGACGCCTTTGATATAGTCTTTGACGAAAATACCATAAGAAAATCGGAATCTGTTCCTACTCCCTCCATCTCCTCTAGACATAGGCAGATGGCTTTGGATTAAGAAAGATGCGAATCTATTCTTTTCAAGCCTAGGGAATTACAGGATTGTTAATCCAACGAAATTACGATAAAATTATATTAGATTAGTAGAATTTTTAAATATAATAAAGATTATTTTGGGGATTAGAAGTTGTAGTCTATTTGGCGAACTTCTTCCACAAATTCTAAGAAGATAATTGGCGGATTAAGGACTGCATTGTTTCCACGTCGTTTTGCATTTTCAAACTTCTTACAAAGGATTATTTAAATTAAATAAGATTTAATATAGCATCTAAGAATTTCGATACTTTTCGCACATTTTCAAATTTGTTTGTAAAGAGAAAAGAAAATGTTCTGAGAGTCTCTTTGGAAAACAAAAGCTGTCTTAAATATTTGTATATCGCATTCTCATTAAATTTAAATAAAGTATTAAATTATATTTAATTCTTTTGTTTAAGAATGGTCGTTTTAAATACGAGCAAATAATAAATTATTAGTACTAATTATTTTTCTGAAACCCCTAAATTGCGTATTTATAACAATTTTAAAATTCTTTGATATTTGCCTTGATTGAGCACAAATGTGAAAAACATCTTTCTTTTATTTATAACATAATTTCAATTAATTATTATCTTCAATACTATTATTTAAATTTCAATTAGTTCTTAGATAGCTCATATTTAAGGACTAATGATCATTTCACAATATTTATTATAATTTGTCCTTTTGTCTACATGGTATTTATTTGAGTATAAACTATGTTAATCTTGAAAATGTTAACTATCAATTCTTCATTACCAACAATTCAAGAAATGAGTAAATAATGATATAATAAACATATTTATGTCGTTACACTATAAAATTAATGCATGAATTTGCTTCTATTTTCCCTTCTTTTCTCTCTTTTACAAATTTTTAAGATTGCTTATCTTTCTAAAACCTCTGAATATAATAACAATATTGTAGGCTATGCAAAGAGCAATCAAATGCGTATCCAAGAGAAAAACGGAAGCCAAATCAGCCAATTCATAGTTTTCTTCTTAAAAAATATAAAATGTGATGCTCTTTAGCTAGCTTCTCCTGATAGTAAAGCTAGCACGGGTGGTCGAACATTTAATTAATGAATCGGTAGTTAGTAACCTCAGCTCAGTTCATGATAGAAAGAGATAACTGCACTTGAGACACATAAGTAAGCCAACTATTCTTCTTAAATCGACGCCAGGGCCGGCACAGTGATTAATAGAAGCTGGTTATGGTGCAAATTCAATTCATGAATGTGGCTTGAACATATGTGTTGTCTAACCTCCTTTTTACGAATGAAAAATCGGTCTGATGTCTGTGGTACACCAAGAACAGCTCTGAAATGAAATAATGATGTAACAAATGAATTTGGGCATCTCACAAAAAAATGCAAATATGCTTTTTCTCCGACTTTGAAAATGACTTTTTCTAAGGAAGAATCTTTTTATTTTTCATAATCAATCCCCCGCCAAAGATTGGCCAATAATCTGATTTCAAAATTTGTAATGTACTCTGATGACAAGTAAAAAAAAACTTTAACATATAAACATATAAAATAATTCATCAATAATCCACTGATCTAAAAAAAGAAGCCTTCCATTTTACTCCTGAAACAAATGCTCTTTAGTTTAAATAGAACCTTTAATTATGATAGAAACTTCAATCCGACTGTCTTTCGTATTAAACAATTTTTCCACTACTTTATATAAACTGAGAATCTTTAGGCACTTCAAGAATGGTTCAAAATTTGCAATTAATTTAAAGTTTCGACGCCTGCTTGCTTCGCAACTTCTAAACTGTATAGTAATATACAAAAGTGATTTTTTCCAATTTAATAATGAAATAAGTAGATCATTGTAACTGAAATCAATCAATCTCTATACGCTCTTATTTCATTCTTTCTAGCGCGTATTTCAAAATTTCGATGAATATATTAATTTTTGAGATTTTATAAGCATCGGTTTTTAAATTAAGGTTTATTATTAAATCGTATACCTATGTTTTAAGACTCATCGCTGAACTTCACCTGCATCGGAATACTCACAGAGAGGAGAATGTTTCGCTCCAAAATTAGAATTTCATATTTAAATTGTGTTTGGGGAACGCCTTGTTGTTAGCAAAAAAGCAGCAGGACTCTAAGTTGCGCAGTTTTTCCACTTTATGAGTTTAAATGTATGGTATGCTAAATATTAGGCTTTTAATAATGAGCATTTGATGATATTTAAGCGTTAAAGCATTATATTTCAGCAATTTGAATTTACTTAGATACTTAGAGAATGATATTTAGAGAACTATAGAAAATGAGACAATTTTTTTTAACTTTCTGAGAATATTATTGCAAACTTTAATCAAAGAATAGGAATTAAATTATAAAATATTTCATTACCACTCATCGAAATTTATTTTCTTTTATTTTGTTGGTTTCGTCAAATGTAAAAATAAAATGAGAATTTTCAGTAAAAATTTTGAGAAGGATTTTTAACATGCCTTGGAGAAAATTAAAGCTTAAATAATGCTGTTAATAATTTTGTAGATTCTTTTACGAATAATAATTCAAAATACAAGAAATGGTGCAAAAATTATAATATTAGTACTTTAAGTGTAGCTCAACAAACGTTTTTTATTATAGTGAAGATGCGCATTCAAAACCACGCTTCTAAGGGATTTACGAAGTTGAGAAATGCATTAAGCAATAATAACGTTATATATATGAATAATTTTAAAAAGATTATGACAAGTTTCACTTACTTAGAAATCAGTTTAAAACGGCCCTCAAAATCCGCTTAAGATCTGCACTTGGCCGAAGTATCCGAATCTGCTAGTTATCCCAAGTTATCCTACTAAACGGATAATGCTTCCTTTTCACTCTTGCTTTCAAACACATGTGTGCCACAGAATGAGCTCGATTGAACCCATTTATCCCAACTGTATGCCAGTGGCCGTGTCATTTCTCGTGACCCCAAATTTAATTCCGACGTTACTTTCCTTGTGTGAAGAATTAGTTGTTGTTGAGCTATCTAGTGGTCGTAAATGATAAACACAAAGGCTTAGATTTGAATCTTGGTAGAGCAACGATTATCTTTGGGGATAAATCGAGGATAAAAATTACAATAAGATACTTTTTACTGTCCTTGACAGAATTTCTTCTACTTTCATGGTCACTTCAACATTTCCTGTTTTTTGTGCAGAACAAAACAAAAGAAAGTCACCAAAAAATGTAGAAAAAGTAGCACACTGATATCTCGAGACTTGCGAAAACGTAAAGCTACGTATTAAATATTCTGTTCAAATAGTTGAATATAAATTTCAGTGGCTAGAAATCATGATTCCTAAAAAGAGTCATTTAAGCAGATTTAAGTACTTTCATGTTTTATTTTTACTGTTACCATAATCAATCTTACCTCTATATGCTTTTAAAGCACATTATACAAATATATAAATTGGGAAGTTTGAAGAAATATTATCAAACTTGTGCATCGTTAAATATTTTAGTATCGGCAGGTTGAGTTTATGAATAATTATCGCCTTCTCTTCTGCGTGTAATTGTAGTGTACGTCTGGCTAGCTTCGGCTGATCTGGAGTTTAAATCCCGGGAAAAGCATAACTGACTTTAGCATCATTTTAGATTTTTACTCTTTAAATGGGTGAGAATATAAGGAGTTTTTAATCTTTCTCACTGAGCCTTCTCCTGTTGTAACTGAAAAATTCGTAGTTACAATCTCGGCGAATATATAGCTAATTTTTCACGTTTCCGGTTTCAAAAAGTACCCTATAGTATCAAAGCATTGCACTATTACTTCGAATTTTTAAGTCGAAGTAAGATTTTAAAATTAGAAAATTTGAAAAAGTAATAAAAATTAGTCGCCCTCAATTTAAGCCCAGTAGTATTTTAAAATTGGAAAAATAAAAAATAATAAAAAAATTGTACTAGGTATTCAAAAATACCTATTAAAAATTATTTTGGTTTTTAAGACTTAATTTAATTAATTAACACCAGAGCACTGGAGAGTAGAAGATCTGTAGAAATAAGTTGGTGAAACATTCACTTTAATTTAAGTTGAACTCTACTTGTACGTTCTAAAAATCTGAATAAAGAGTATAGTATAAATTTGGAGCAGAACAAAAAATAGCGTTTATTTTTCATCTAACACATTTCCTGTAGCTTTTATCAATTTTAATTTAATTAAATTTTATGTATTTATTTTTTAATGATTTTTTAACATCATAAACTTACCTTAAATTCAACTTAATTATCAGATTAAATAGGCATAGTTTCTTTGATCGAACTACTCTATGTTTTAATTTTATCCTAACACTCACGCAAATGTTATAAGAAAATTAGAAAAGAACTCTTTAGAGAAAAATATTAGAAGTTTACATAAACAAAGTATCTAATTTTCGCAAAGTATGCTTAGAATTTGTTTTATTTTTGCTTAATAAAATTTCAGAATAATTTCGCAGAAAAAATTGTCATTCTTTTGGTATAAATACCAAGTTCTTGGCTTTTCTTATAAAGCAAAATAAAGCAATCGTTTAAGTTCTTCTTAAATGCTGATTCGCTTAATATGTCGTAAATGAAAACCCATGGATAAAAGTAATGGTTACTCGAAGCATATTGATTTCAGTATTTCTGTCGACAACTAGCCCTCACTTAGGAATTCTAGAATATTTTCTGTTAAGAGGCTTTAAAAATGTAGAATAATTTGATTAGTGCATATGTATATGTTCAACAACGCAAACTCAAGTCATTCAAAAACACTTTACTTTTTCAGTTTGTAATTACAGAATGTTTCCTGTTGAAATACTTTAAAATGTTCAGAATAATTTGTTTAATACATGCGTGTATGCTCAGCTACAATTATTATACTTAATTTCAAATCATTCAGAATCACTTTATTTTAGATAAATGGCACTAATGTATTTTTAATTGCATGCGGAAGAATTTTTTTAATCCCCCCTCCTTCAACAACAGGACACTTGCTGATTTGGCACTTTTAAATCTTACACATGTACATAAGAATTTATATATACGTGTTTAAAAGTATATTTGCTTCGATTCGATGCAGACAATGTTCGAGACAGCGGTCTGATCTCATTTGAGGAAAATTCGGAGACTTCGATCAAGAAAGATTTGGAATCGAACGGTCTGTACCATTTTTTTCTCTTTTTCAAAATACTTCCGCAATGGATGTCAAAGTGTAAGCTTAGCATAACTTAAATTATCATAATTTTCAGACATTTCCTTTCGAAAGGTCTTGAACTAGAAAATAAATGGAATTAAACTATAGCTAGATTTAAAATTGATTTCTTGTTTCATTATTATGTTTAATTAAATATTAAGATAATTAAATAAATGGCATTAAATGGTTTCGAACATTTATAAGTACATATTCTTAACTTGATTTGCATCCCAACGTTTGAAATATCATTTTCAGAACATTAAGAATTAACCGATGGAAACCAAATAAAAATGCCGATATAAATAAGGTGGACATATATAAATGGTGTGCAGAAAGTAGGAGATCAGTGGCTACAAGGTGTCAGTGATATTTTCTTTATATAGTATTAGTAACCAATATTATACACTGACTACCAATAAGTATTTGGACACCTATGCAAATGACGATATCTGCGGTCCTAAGGTACGTCACGGACTTCGCCGATACATATGTAGGAAACAGCATCCGCTTTCGTTGCATGCAAGATGCCTCGCAGTTCGGAGCTCTCTAATTTCGAGAAAGGTATAATTATCGGGTATCACAAATGTGGCCGATCTTTAAGGGACATATATAGCGATCTTAAGTACCCAAAATCGACAGTGGCCTATGTGATTAAGAAGTGGAAGGTGAGCGGTGATTGTCGGAATGTGCCCCGAGTCGGCAGACCAACGACACTGGAAGAAAGAGACCGACGAGTGCTGTCCAGAGAAATTCGAAGAACCGCACCCAACCGATGGCCCTCATCCGCGAGGAGTTTCAACAGGCATCCGAGAGTATTGTTTCAATGAATACCATCCGTAAGGAAGCACATCTGCTTGGTTTTCATGGTCGTGCTGCTGCCCATAAGCCTTTGATCACAAAGTCCAACCGCGCTGCTCGGATAATGTGGTGCAAAGCACATCGAAATTGGACCGTAAATCAGTGGAAACGGGTTCTTTGGAGTGACGAATCAAGGTTCACCCTTTACCGTTCGGATGGCAGGGTCTGGGTCTGGCGTCTACCTGGAGAACGTCTCCTGCCAGAATGCATTGTGCCAACAGTTAAGTTCGGCGGAGGTGGAATTATGGTCTGGGGTGTTTCTCCTGGTATGGGCTGGAACCCTTGGTCCCCATTCATGGTAAGCTCAACTCCGATGCCTACTGCACTATTTTGGATGACAATGTGCTTCCTACATTGTGGCAGTTTTACGGGTTGGACCCCTGTTACTTTCAGGACGACAATGCCAGTTGTCATGTTTCGACGTTAACCAAGGCTTGGTATGGTGCCAATGGAGTTCATCGAATGGACTGGCCTGCCCAAAGTCCAGACCTGAACCCTATGGAGAATCTCTGGGACGAGTTACATCTCCGAATTCAGGGGTGCACTACCCGTGCAAAATCGGTGAAGGAACTTCTATGTCTTCTCCAAGCCGAGTGGAAGAAAATACCACTAGCTGTCATACAAAGACTTGTGGAAAGTATGCCCCGGAGAGTCCACGCTGTAATTACCTCTCGTAGAGGCTCTAGCAACTATTGATTTTGAATAAAGTTAGTTTTTCTTTTCTATCACAGGTGTCCAAATACTTATTGGTAGTCAGTGTATTAAATGCACATAATATAAATTCCTATAAGAAACAGGCAAATTTTTAAGGATGAAAGTTATTAGTTACTGCTTATTTTTATCATTACACGATAGTTATTCATATTTTAGGCTTTCTCAAAACAAGTATAACTGTCAATAAACAAAAAATAACCATACTCTTCAGTTATAATTTTAAACTGAATACGTGCTTAAGAAAAACAGACGAGTAAACCTTGATCTCCTTTTCCAAAAATATTCAGTTTAACAGCATAGACATCAACACCGTATCTAGGATTTGCATTGTGAGTTTATATTACCTGTGCTAATGAAACAAGAATCCGTATTTAACCATTCATTCGCTATACAATTTTTATGATGATAATACTGTTTCATCCAGCTAAAACAACATAATAAGACATTTTTAAATACTTTGAACGCTTTTTCTGGGACTATATTGATTGAATACATAGATCTTCAATATTCTCTTCTTTAGAATAGTGTAGTTACTGAGTAATCGAGATTCCTATAGAGATGTCTTCATTGTCATCATAGCTTAACTTTACAGTGATGCAGTGATGCAAGATTTGAGAAGCGGTCGTAAATGAGTATGTACATATTTTTATTTCATGCCTACTAAGTAATTGCAGCATCGGAATTCATTGTGTCACTTGCACATCACACTCTAATGAGTTTCATGAACCAAGTTAAAATTATAACTATAAGGCATTTTCTCTTTCCTTTCCGTAAGCCTTCGTGGTTTAATTGAAAGCATACTCGACGCGTATTCGAGCGGTCCGGGATTCGAATCCCGGTCAGGGCACTGCATATTCTTTGCGTCTCCGGCATCTAAAAAACATAATTGCTCTGCATAACACTCAATTTTCTAGACTACATTAAAAAGACTTAATCCGTTTCCAATAGGTTTAATCATCCATTAATTCTGAACATTAACGTAGTTATGTTTTTTAATCAGAAAACAGTATGTTGCAAATTTTGGTTGTTTTGCTACTTCATTAGAATGAAGAAAGAGAAAAAAGAAAGAGAGAGAAAGAAAGATAAACTTCACAGCATTTATACCCACCAAGTTTTTAAAAGTTATATTAACTTTTTGCTAGCGAAA